ACGACTTCCCCGTACGGCGGAAGGTGGAGCGGCGACGTGGGGGTAGGATATGTCAAATGATCACGCCAAGTACTAATTGCGGAAGCACCCTTCACGTGACTCCTGGACGTTATTGAATGTTGAATCGCGGCGGTTCTATTTTTTTTGTTTTTGTTTTTTTTTTTTTGGTATTCAGAGGAAAACAAATAAACCGTATTAATGGGGTTGTTGTGTTGCCGGTCTGGTTTTCTAATTTTAGACGCTCTGCTCTAGATTGAGATTAACTGAACTAATAAAGTGCGATCCGTCCGTTCGTTACATGAGCACTCCGAATAAATCGTCGGTTCGTGTGTGATTTCTTTTTTTTTGCATTATTTCTCTAATCTATATATAATTTATGAAAAAAAAATACAACAAACATTACTAAAGTCCAAATATTATCGAAGAAATATGAGAAAAACATCATGAATTTAGAGTAACCACTTTTTATTAATGAATAAGCATGTAGCTGTATAATTGTGAAGTTTATAAATACTTTTTTTTAACTAGGGAATATTTTATGAAAGTGGACAAATTCTACTTTTTCTATGCTATGAAAATGATATAATTTAACTTCAAAACAATACAATTCAGACTTGGTGTAAATGAAATCAATGGATCCAATCATATTCATTATTGTTTAAATAGATATTATACAACGGTCGGAATATGTCTTTTTTTTATTATAACTGCAAATATCACAAAATTATAGATATTTCTAAATGTGACGAGTTCCAATTTTTCAAATTTTGACGCATCAAGCTGACCATTATTATTATAATGGTAGCCAAATTGAAATATTATTAACACACAATAATATTAATTTCATGTTATGAAAACAAAACTTTAAAATTTAAATCTATAATACTTTTTCTGGTACATTTTTTCAATAGATAAAATCATTCAATCATTTCTAATAAGCTTTTCCATATTGTCCTGTTATTCAAAATCAAAGAGATTTCCTTCTTAAATTAATTTTTGATGTACTATTGAAGAACTTAGTTTTTCGGGGATCGACGAAATGATTCTACCACTCGTGGGAATTTAGTTACAATTGGTAAAACATTTTTATGTGCATCATCAATTAAAAAAAATCTGCTGATCGTTTATTAAAGATATTTCACCTAATTCCAATTATAAACAACATTAGTGGAATTATTGATATTCAGCTACAAGACGACAGCCAACAAACGAATTAAAACTCAAATCATCATAATGGTAACTATCCACCGGGAAAGATTATCCATTTAATGACAACCGCGATGTTAAATTTACTCAATGTTCATATTAATAAACAGATTGTGCATCACAATACACGACATAAAAAATATAATACCAACCTTATTTGATTATTTCAACTACAACTAAAATATTTCGCCACAAATTGTATTGATAAAACTACTACAAAAGCAACACAATTAATTTCTATTCAATCTAATTTAAACATATTTCAAAATTGAAAAAAAATCTACAAATGATTGACTTTCATTATAATAGTCTAATTATAGTAAGTATTTGAAATAAATACCTTTTTTCATAATAAATACATATAATTTATATACAGAAGTGTATTAATAATAGACGCACTAATTTATTACTAATGGTGGATTCGCCGGTTAATAAACCTCATTACATCGTTAGCTTTACATCTACGTGAACGCAATTATATCTACTATAATAGTATTACAATTACCAAGCTTTCCATTAACATTACGAGCTTGGGTATGAGCGATTTCCGTGTAATATTGCGTATTTAAATACATAACGGACACAAGTGATGCAATTGCAATAATCCATGAATTTACTATAATTCCAATATATGTTAGTTATATAATTACAATAAATCATTATATATTAATAATTTAAAGCTTCAAAGAAATATTATTTTTTAAATTGAACATGTTTTCATTTATGATTTTAATTTACAGTAAAAAAAGATATAATTTTAAATTAATTAATTATTTTATTTTCTTCTGATGATCCTTGATATTACTTTACCAGACACATGTATGTTTTCTTCAAATTATTATTATTGAACAGAGATTAGGTTTTCTTGTTGTTTTAATTGGTTTGGTACATTCGTGTCGTGGTCTTAGCGACTCTATACAAGAGGTGTGAAGAGTCTTGAAGTGGAACTGACTTTGTGGTTACTACACAGAAGATTGTATGTTATTACATTTGTGAAATATGTATTTATATAATTATATATTACAAAAGTAACGTCACTAAAACCACTGTAACTTGTGAACTAAACATAAGATTGTTATGAAATTTTGAAAGGCGTCATCTGAAGGTTGGTACTTCCTAAAAATCATATGGATTTGTCGAAAGAAGCGCTATCTATATGTCATTCTACAAACTTATTGAGTTATGTATTATGTATGCAATCGTCAAATTCCCACATGCCAAGTATTTATTAAACGTAGTGCAAGTTGGCTTGTTATTAAAAGGTCTATATTGTCAGCCCGATAACTGAAATACCGTTTATCGAAATCCGGACGTTCGAAATCCCGACTATATCAAAATCTCGACAACCATAATCCCGACTGTATCAGAATCTCGACAAACATAATCCCAATTATATCAAAATCCCGACCATATCGAAAATTTCTAAAATAACATTTTAAAATTATTTCGGAGCGTAGTCACTTTTAAATTGATTTCGAAGTTGGGATTTCGATACAGTCGGGATTTTCGAAAATTGTAGGTTATTACATTTGTGAAATATATAATTATATATTACAAAAGTAACGTCACTAAAACCACTGTAACTTGTGAACTAAACATAAGATTGTTATGAAATTTTTAAAGGCGTCGTCTGAAGGTTGGTACTTCCTAAAAATCATATGGATTTGTCGATAGAAGCGCTATCTATATGTCATTCTACAAACTTATTCAGTTATGTATTATGTATGCAATCGTCAAATTCCCACACGCCAAGTATTTATTAAACGTAGTGCAAGTTGGCTTGATGTTATAAATGAAGTGATTATTCTGTATATGGATGGGTTATTTCACAATGTTACGAATATTAAAATTATGGACCGCTCAAAGTGCAAAGTCCTTAGTGTTGTTTTACTCAATACCCTGACCATATTTTTAACAGTCGCTAGTAGTAATTCATAGTTTGTAGGTAACTGGATTCCCCCTGCCACTAGGTTATTTTAAATTATTTTTTTGTCTTATCTTATAATATTGGTTGTGCAGTTTAAAATAATGTGATCTATCGATCCACATAGACCGTAGGTGCAGAATCAAACCAGCCAATCCTGAATTTGTGCTCTTAGATGTGTGACCTGATTTTAGTCTATTTAAATTTATTATATCGTTTCTGTTTGTAGTTTTCATGATTACAAACCAGGGAGTTTATTGGCTAGTAAGATTTCCTTTTCCTAGAGCAGATTATGTCATAATTCTTAATTGTGTGGTAGAGATCAGTAAAAGGTAATCTTGTTGATGTTTCCTTATATTGATGTCAAAAGTTAACTTCTTAATCTGCTCTTTCATTACCTTCAAACCCCTGGTGTGATGGTAAAGAGCAAAGATTGATAGAAAGTGCCCAATAGTTGGATTTCACTTTGCATTCACTTGATGTATTGCGCTAGCAGAATCGATGAAGGTGATGACGTCTTTCAGATCTAGTCTCTTCATGATTAACAGGGCTCTGTATATTACTCTGCAGATACTATGCAGTTGTAATTTTTAATCTGTCTAGATTTCGTGATGTGAATTAAATATTGATTGACAATTCGAGAACGTCTATCAAAGCCATAACGAAAGAAAAACGGAAAATAGGTTCCGTTGAAATACCATTCGTTATGTACACTCTGTTATGTTTTTCTTACTTTTATTTATCCTCTTTTCCTCGTCTATCTCCCTTTCTTCTTGAAGCCCAGAAGGCCCTGGCATAATTTAGGCATTGCGAGTTTCCGTTTGTTGTGCTGCGCGCGGAGCGTTATCTGAACGAGCGAGCTCTGGTGATTTGTGGACGTGTTTTGGGTGTCTTTGGAAACATCTCTCAGTAGGTTTTCTTCCAAACGCTACGATAAGATTACGCCGTGATGTACGACACCTTCGGGAGAATTTCGAATTTAATAAACAATCCAGCAACGAACCGAAACCGCTTTAACCCGATGACCCGATCCATCAAGCCACCAGCTTGATCGTAAATCTAGCGCGAATTTGCACGCAATAAAACTGTGTACACCAAATGAAGATTCACAGAACGTTGTGTGCGTGTCAGTTAAATATTTTTACCAAAAAAATATACTGCATTTGCAAACCTGTTTCACTTTTCTTCTTGTTTCATTTATTTTTCTGGTGCTTGCGAAGTGGAGGACATAAAGTACAGAACAGAATGTTTTCGGAATGGGTTCGTGATGTATCGCGTTTATGTAAGGGGGAGGACGAAAAATGCACAAATTTCGTACATAATGGGGCGGATTTCGAGTATAAACAGAGCGTGCTTATGGAACGGAATAAAAGCTAACAAAAAGAGAAACAACAGTTCTCGCATACGGAGTGAGGGTAGGCTTTATACAAGGCCTGGATACAAATTGGACGGCTATATTTTATTGGTGACCTGGATTACAATGTTAAATTGTTTTTTTTTTACTTCTATTGTTTTGAATTAACCCTCGGCATTAATAGTTTACTTGAAATTTAATCAATTAATCTTAAAATCAACAATCTATTATTAATTACTATTAATTTTTCAACAACCTAAAAAATATTTGCATTATTATGTGCATTATTTATTATACATATAATAAATAATGCACAAGTTAAATTAAATGCAAATGGATAATTTCATTTATTATTAATCATTGCACAAAGCTACTGACTATAGATTTAATTTGCATAATATTGCATGAAAAGAAAAATGTTCTACTTAAATGAATTGCAATCATGTGAACAATGTGTGCATTTCAACTAATACAATTACTGTTATAATTTGAAATATATATAATTTTTAATTGCAGGTATGAAAGGCGACATTATAAGCTGCCAACATAAGGACATTTACTTCCTTGAGACCAACACCAAGTCTGAGGTGAGTTTCCACTGCACTCTTTATTTTTATTTGCTAGCATGTAATACATTTGAAAGGGAATTTCCCCCTTTTTTTTTTATTTTTACTGCACAGTCAAGTATTGTCAATTAGGCGTTTGAGAGCGTCCCGTCCCGAGGGTAGCAATTGAATTACCCTAAATGGAATGGCTAAATTTCCATCTGGCATGCGGAGGGCAAAAACCGCGACGATTAATGAAAGTTCCCGGGGTCTAATAGAGAATAAGGAAAAGCCCTTTGTCCTTTTTTATAGTTGGCTCAAGCTCTATACTCGTATTTCCCTTATATTCTGCCTTTTCTCGCATTTTGGAACTTTGTCCCGCCTATAACAAGAACATTATTTGTTTAGCTTGAATTCGTTCCAATTGTGTTTGCGCAAACAGAAGTTCGACGAGCATGAATCTCGTGCGACGCTAATTTTACACGTTTCTTGTGACCATGATCAGCAGTGAGAAGTGGCCATCGACATAAATCCTCCTCAAAAGGAGGTCACCTCTTCAACGTGCATTAATCTTAGCGCACACTTCAAATATGAATTATGCTTACCCATCTACACGTTACTTTTTTTTATAGCTCTTATCATAAACTACTTTTAATTCAAATTGATACTAAAACCACAATATTGAATATTTCATGAAAACTGAATTACCTTAACGTAACTGTAACTACTACAAGCATATAAATAAAACACAAGCACTGCCCATGGGTCAAAATTACCCGATTATTAAATATTAACAAAATGGAACAAAAATTATTAATTTTTACAATAAACCTCAAAAGGAGGTCACCTCTTCAACGTGCATTAATCTTAGCGCACACTTCAAATATGAATTATGCTTACCCATCTGAACTCATCTACACGTTACTTTTTTTTATAGTTCTTATCATAAACTACTTTTAATTCAAATTGATACTAAAACCACAATATTGAATATTTCATGAAAACTGAATTACCTTAACGTAACTGTAACTACTACAGGCATATAAATAAAACACAAGCACTGTCCATGGGTCAAAATGACCTGATTATTAAGTATTAACAAAATGGAACAACAATTATTAATTTTTACAATAAACAGACTAATTCTTTTTATTTAACAGAACTATTTAGAATTATTTTTTTCTCAATAATGAGGATTCTTATAAAACACTACTGTTGACACCACATTTGTCATAGAGTGTATTTTTTTTGTATTTTCATTCACATCATACCTGAAATCATAGTTACTGATTTTCCTCGTTTTGGTACATGAAAAACTAAAAAAAATAATGAAAACAAATATCAGATGGGTCATTTTGACCCATCTGTAGTAGTTACGGGTTTACATAATTATTCAAAACACAAAAGATCTACATGGGAATGTACCAAATGATGTAAATGAAAAAATAATGTCAAAATAATACATTGTAATGTCCACCATGTCATAAGGTATTAAGAATCTAAAACATATATTAATTTTATATTTTTTTTTTCGTTATAAGAAATGTTTTGCAAATAAAATCTAATATTTTTTACTTTAATTATCTATAGTTTTGACTTCAATAATTGACTAATTGTTTTTTTTTTACAACTCGATTCAAAAAGACAAACAATTTACATAACAATAATAATGTTTTTTTTAAGGTTTTAGGAAAAAAAAAACACTGTTACATTATAAATAAATAATCGTTGTTACGTACAATATAATACGAAATATGTAGATATACAGAAATATCATTAATATTACTAAAACATTTCAAAACATTGAACATTGAATTGATTTCACTCTTAATTTGTCAACTGCGGTTTCCAACAATACCGGATGCTATCACATGCAATTCAATAGCAGCTTCTGATATTTCATTCAACAACAATTGGGGTGAAACGGTAAAACAAATCATATTTTATTGGATCATATATCCGACTCACAGCATGTATTCGTCCTTATTTAATTCACATCCACTTAGAGTAGACGTGATGTAATACCGCTGAAGCCGAACGCACGACATATATTTCCTAGTTGCGTAACGCAATTTCATCATCGCCGAGAACGAAATAAAACAGGTCAGAATCGAATAAAAGCATAACGAAGTAATTCAATTGGATCGGCTCGATATTGCGCGCTGAAAAATTGACACTGACGTTAATTTAATTACAACATCGAATGAAAAACTAATAAAAACAACAACAACAAACAAACAATAAAATCGTTATTGTTTTAGTCAATGAACGTCGATGTTTCAACATAGTTAAAAATAAACCTTTAATAAATATATGATGAACTTTTACTTAATAAAATATTTGATTATAATATAATTAATAGGGTAGAAAGTCTTATGGTTTTTTGTAACTGATATTTTTTTTATGTGGTTATGATTATATATACGTTTATTTAGTAATTTTGATATAGAGCAGCATTCTTCAAGCATTTTGAGTGGCGAAAATATGAGAAATGTTCCTTGGTTAACGTTTGAGATAGAAATAAAACTGATTTAGTAAATTTAGTCAATAATTTTATAACAATTGAATAACGGTTGAAAAAGTCTACATCATTTGAATGTAAAAATAGCTTTTTTGTTAGGAAAAATGCGTAGGAAGATAAGCTTGATTTTGTAAAGAATTTCTGCACAGCTTTTGTCGTTTTATATTTTTTTTTTGAAGGAATACCGCTGATGTCGGAGAAAATTGATCCATGCGTTTCACAAAGAAACAACGTTTCATACGTCTGTTGTAATGCTTGATCCCATAATTTCCGCGATTAGCGTTATGAATTTCGCACTTGGAAGGGTCATAAATTTCTATCGCGTACATTTCAATTTCGCTTTGTAATGCTGCCATTAACCATTAACCCAAAGGGAAATTTGCAGTGGTCGTAAATCGTTAAAACGTAGCCCAAGACATATTTTACTGCATCGAAATTTAATCATTAATCGAATTTTAATGTGATTAAAATTGTCTTAATTATGCGTTTGATTTCAGAGTACGGATCTGGCGAATCTCTTCGCATCTCCAACAGGAAGAGAGATGATCGAGTACAAGCATCGGACAAAGCTGAAGCACAAACAGAATCCTGCCTTGGAAGTGAGTCCGATCGAATTTTTCGGAATGATTTATGCGAGTTTTAAATTCCGTTAACGGTCTTGTAAATAAAACCTAATGGACGCTTTAAAGCGTTGCTTTAAGGTTGCCGTCAAAATATTTCAGCATTAAAGAGGACGATCCTCGTGTGCCCATAACAGCCGCACGTGAGCAAACTCTTCGAGGATTTAAAGGACGATCGCAATCCGCCCCTAAATTCTAGCTTCACCAGCCCCAATTTCGGTTAAATAACATCCCTTCTATGCTCTCTACGACCATTCCGAACTTCCGCTCCTTATTTGTATCATTACACGATTCTTCCAACTACCGTAATCACAGAATGATCACAAAAAGATTGGAAAAAATTTAATTTCATGTGTTAATTGAACCGTTTTTTGACAATTATAGGAAAAAAATGAATTAATGGTAATTTTAATAAGGATTTCTTCATAAATTGACTAACGTTTGCTAATATTTTTAAATTAATTCAAGCGCAAACCCTTAAATATCTCGATGTATGAAAAATGGACTTATACCACTACAACCCAGATTTTATATAATTATCATTAAAATTGGAGTTTTTAGTTAGAATCACCCAATAATTTAAAATAATATTAATATTAAAGTCAATTTATTTTAGTAACTACAAAAAATATTAAATTCTGTCAGACTAATCAACATCAAATACGTAATTCAACTATAGAATTTGCAATCATTCTCATGTTTTTTTTTACAATTAAATTTTGTTTGTTTATTGTTGTATAAAAATTGGTAGAAGTTTATATTTTTCTATTTTCAGAATTATATATTGAAACAACTTATGTTAAATTAATAATTAATAAAATTACGTGAATTGTCTAAAAAAGCTTACATAATATATTTATCATGTAAAATACCGCGAGATGTTTACAATCTAAACTATACATATTTAAATAATTGTAGAATAATTGAAGTTAGCTTTTGAGCTTAACGTGAAAGCAATATGTGTATTTTATAAAATTAGAAACATATAGAGATCATCGTTTTAAAATATACTCCAAAATAAGTGTCCGATTTAGGATATTTATTTGTCCCAAAATAAGTGTCCAATTTCAGAAAAAAATATGCATATAGATACGTGTATTTTAACAACTAAACTATAACATAAAATAGAAAACTTTTGTTAATTATCACTCATTTGTTACTCAAATTAGTAACTGTAAACGGTCAAGTTCCTAACAATGTTAGGAAACTTGTAATCGTTGCCTCCTTTATGAAGCATGGTCAATTCCATAAATTTCTGCAATATAATGAAAATACTGTCTAGTTTCTTCGCGGTTATTTTATCACATGCTTTATACAGGGCCGCAGTGAGTTCATCAATACTGGACGGGGAGTCTTTGTGTTATAATGATTGAATGGCGTTAAGGAAACCCAAATCAAGGACATTGTGTCTGTTTGGTGGTTGACAAATAATTCTTATGTTCCACCCATTTTCAGTATAAGCGCGAACAACTTCTTCATCATCAACTCTGCAATATGGTTTAGCATTATCTTGCTGGATTTTGATTGATTCCCTACCAATAGCAAATTATTTTTTCTGCAATTGTAGTAAGCTAAAAAAAAATGTCAGCAGGTAAAAAAACATCGGTGGAAATCGCAAGCCCGACAACCGAAATCCCGTCTATCGAAATCCTGACGTTCGAAATCCCGAGTGTATCGAAATCCCGACGTTCGAAATCCCGGTAGTCGGGATTTTGACATAGTCGGGATTTGTCGGTTGTCGGGCTTGCGATATAGACCCAAAAAACATATTAACATTTGTTACAAATTTTTACCTGTTCCTTAGAAAAACTATTTTGACAAATGTTAAACTTAATGCGACTACTACTCAGTTTTTCCGTGCTTAATTTAAGTAAATAACTACTGATACATGTAATTACATTATTTCAATAATCTATTAAAAAAAAAAACCTAAAATTGGACACTTATTTTGGAACGGAGGGAATATTTGAGAAGGATAATGTTTATTGTATGTTTATATTTAATTTATTATCCTTGTTCTAGTTTATCATGCAAAACAAATCTGAGAAGACTGCATCATCGAGCGAAAGTAAAAAGGCCCAAGAAGTGAATGCGAGCAAGTGCAGCGGATCGGGAGTCAACCAGACGGAAAGGACTAGTCGAAGGAACAGTATAGATCTGTACGAAGAGGCGGCCGCTATCCTAGGCTTGACTTGCTCCCAGACGGACGATTGCAGATGCATAGAATGTCAGGTTCGTTCATAAATGTCATTCTCTCGCAAAAAGGCATCATCGCATCGTCTTTACTTCATTCTTGTTACTTTTCTTTATTGCTTTTATTTTTGGATTATTATTATATACGTGCCGTATGCAGTGTGGAAAATGAAGATGTGCACGTGCCGGAACCAAATGAACATCTCCCGTGCCGCATGAATATAAATGGACGTGTCTTGCGGTTGCATTATTCCATCATCAAGCCAGAGACCGTTTCCAGCGAGCAGTCGAGGATAAATATTTTATTACAAAGACGAAATCGCCGGATCGATCCTCAATTTTTTTTTACTTCTTCTTTCATCGAAATCCTTTTGATGTCGCGCCTTTTCAATCCTTCGCCAAAGTCTAATTGGAATCCCGAAATCCTTCTACTATATATATTTTTTTTTTCGACCACGTTTTTTACTTTGAATATCGTAAGAAATGCAAATGTTCATTTTTGATTGATGATGGTTGTAGCCATGAAACTTGATTCACTTCTATTTTTCAGTGTCACTATTTCGATTTCGAGGAGGAAATAGATTTCCCGACCGGAAGAGAGTGCGTGGTGGATCACAATTCCTACTGTTCTATCCAATAACGAACAGAATGGGTATAACGAAGAAGGCTGATAATTTGTTTCATTGCCCCCAACCCATCTCCCATGTTTCCTTCATTCTTCTCGCACACACATACATTCAATTTCGTATACTCATATTATATTATGTGTTTATATGTATCCCCATTTCATCTTTGGTCCCAAAATTATGTAATTGAATAATTAACTGATTAATGGATTAATAAGAGTAACTCTTGCAGTCGTCACATTGTGGTATCGAAAGAACGGGAAAGAGGATTTAGGCAGAGCGTCGGACGAGAATACCAAGCGTTCATTGTAAAGACTATTATATAGTAAACTCAAAATTGTATTATATTTCTCTATATTGTACATAAGACTCCCCCTTCTCTATAAGACATGAACGATTATATATGAACTATGTATTAATTATAATATGTAATTAATAAATCTATTGTAAATTCGCAATTGAATTCATTTCTTACTCCAAAAACCTTTCAATAAAAAAATTATTTAATATAATATATCATTTTATTTTCCTTTATTATTACAGTTTAAAAATATTAGAGATAAACCAATTTTGATAATAAAATTATAATTTTGTAACAATCAATAAAACTAAATTATTTATAATTTATTACACTCTATAATGTGGAAACTTCAAATTATACAACTAATATTATCAGTAATATTAATATTTAATATTACGATATAATAATTTCATAAATTACAACAATATAAAAAAGCTTATTTATTCTGAAATAAACACAAAATAATAACGCCATAGACATAAAAATAATAATAAATCATTCAATTAAATTTAATTAAATCTTGCATATTGTCAATTTAAAGATTTAAATAAACTGATATGAATAGTTGAAAGATACAATAATGTAATTAAATATACAGTGAAACCTCGCTTAACGAACAAAATGAATTGTACGAAAAATGACTCGCTTAACGAGCAACGTTTCTAATTGATACAAGTAAACAGTAAACAGTTCATAGTGTTAGTGGTCATTCTAGTTGCATCTTAGTGTTGTTTGTGATCACAAAATTTCCTTGTGTTCAGACATGTTATTTGAGTTTTTTTTGTGCAAAATTTAATAACACTTGCATGTCTCCCAATAAAGAATATAAATAACCATAGATATGAAAAGCAAAATCATAAAAAATCGAGACCAAGTTATACTTTTTTTCTCCGGCATGGAATGGATAAACGGAATTTAAATTGGGAAAACTATACGAGTAAAAATCCGGAAATTTTGGAACGTTAAGCGAAGTTCCACTGTATATGTTTAGTAGCTCTAATGATTACGCAATTATTAACAAAGGTTTCTGTAACGTATTTTTTAAATATAATCAATCCTCGTATAACATGATTAATTGGTTTGCATAACCGAAAAAGACATATTCTTATATTATTTAGCCCTCTGAAGGGCCAGAAATTTAGACAACTGAATCAGACAACTTCGTCATCTGAATCAACATCTGATATTATGGATTCAACATAAACTTCTTCTGCTGATTTATCCCTTGACATACCAACAAAATGAAACAGTGATTCCTCTTTCCTAGGCATTTTCTAGAAAATTGTAATAATGCCTCACTAGGCATGTTTAAAGCGCCATTGTACCAAAGAGTTAAAATTTATTATTGTTTTTAGTATTTTTGGGGGGCCCGAAAATTAATCTGCCTTGGGGTCCCAAATATCCTTAATCCGCCACTGGTATGTATGTATATTTCATTAATATCGATATAAACTGTTACATTAATATAAATATAAACGAATAAAATACTATTTAATTATGTTTACTCAATCTTTATGTTTATAGTAAACTTGACATAATATTACAATAATAATCAAAAATGGTAATGTTTCCACTAAATCATAACATTATTGGATTTTTTCTTGGGTGATGATTTGGTTGCCTATGCATTAATATGCAAGATAAAATTACTATTTATTTTAAAAACGGTAAGTCCGATACTACATAGGAAAAATCGATGGCAATCCCGACAACCGAAATACCGTCAATCAAATTCACAACGTTCGAAATCCCGACATTTGAAATCCCGACTGTATCGAAATCTCGACAACCATAATCTCGACTGTATCAAAATCCCGACTATATCGAAAATTAATATAGTCTGGATTATTGAAGACAAATAACTTTTTTAAGTCATTCCGGAGCGTAGTCACTTTTAAATTGTTATTAATAATTAATAACAACAATTAATAATCTAATTGTATTTGATATCATTTCATAATGTTAAGGTTTATTATGAATAATTCAACAAAATCAAATAAATTAATTTTTGTTATTAATAATAAAAGTGTAGCACAAGGTGACTACGCTCCGAAATAATTTAAAAATGTTATTGTAAAAAAATTCGATATAGTCGGGATTTTGATACAGTCAGGATTTTGATATAGTCGGGATTATGTTTGTTTGGATTATGGTTTTCGAGATTCTGATACAGTCGGAATTATGGTTGTCGAGATTTTGATATAGTCGGGATTTCCATACAGTCGGGATTTCGAACTTCGGGATTTACAAACTAAACGATACATTTATTTTTAAGAAAAATAACGATATTCTTATAATTCTCTGACGAAGCAATACATTTGTAATAATATAAATATGTAATTAAACAATCATACAATCATATTTATATAATTTTAGTATGGATTTTAATCATTAATTAGTAACATTATTATAACTATTTAAATTCTATAATTTAAAAATATATTTTAAATGAACTTATAAATTCAAACAGAGTTAGTCACAGTTAGGTTAAATGTAATTCCAAGAAATAAAAAAATCATTTTTAAAACTTTCCATATTTCCCAACATTTTTTTTTTTAATTTTACAACTTGTAAATTGATATAATTGGCAATGTTTTAAATCATTTTAATTATATTTTTTATCTCGCTTTTAACTTCGTGTATTATAAATTTCAAAATTTACTTTTCTATTATTTATTTACTTTTTTTTATTATTTTTTCTGTTATTTATTTAAATTATTCTAAAACTAAAACCAATTAAAGAATTAAATAGCGTTTTTTAACTTTTTTATACATCAATAATAAAAATTAGTGGAAATCCATTAATTGTTTGAACACATTAAAATATATACAACAGGAGCAAAATAATCTATTTTCTCGAATTAGTGAATTATAGAAAAATCCAACAAAACATGGGAATGTTTTTTTTTTGTTAAAGGTGTGAAAAAATTAATAAAAAAATATTAATAATTCATAACATAATTATTTTAATTAACAAATAGTGTAAGGTAATTAAATTTAAAAAAAAACTCATTTTTTGTACACAGCTTAGACTTTATTTACATACACGTTAAAATTACAGTTGAAAAGTTGTTTCGTAATTAGATTCTTTATATATTAATCTACGATCTCATCCATGTAATCGTATAGTATCCATTTCATTTATGTTGTAAGTCGTATAGTGAACACAAATATCAATAATTAGAAACTTCGGCGTTTTTTTTTATTCTTACTTTTTCATATTTTTATAAATACACGATTTACTATATAATTAGCTAGAATCGCATGGTATCATTGCATTAGGAAAAAAATGTTATTTTGTTCATATTAGAAAGTAAAAGCGGTTCAATTATCAATTTCATCTGTTGGAAAAGTGCTTTGAAATCGAAACAACTGTAGGCCCAGAAATACGAGTGAAAACTTTGAAACAAATTTTTTGATTTTTTTTCTCTTATTTTTTTTTGTTTGTTTTGTTAGTTGAACACAAAATACATTTCTTTCTCAGACAGGTACCGAACGATTTATACTTTCATATCTCTTTTTCTCTCTCTTTCTCTTTCAATTTCGTTATTTAATTAATAATTCAAAAATTGCCTCCATTTGAAGAAATATTCCAGTAAAAAAAATCATTTGTCCTTCATTAATTTAAATATTTACACACACCCTGTACGTGATTGTTGCATTATAAGAAAATCGAAAGCTTCATCAAAGAATGGTAAGCATTTTGTCGTTCTTGGAGTCGGAGGAAAATCGCTATCCTAAGGCAATGATTTCACATCAACGAATATACAATTAATTTAGTATATATTTTATTTCTTTTTCTGATATGTTCGAACTCGACACAAATTGACACGTAAATTGACAAAATCCTTGTCACCCTTTGCCTCGGCTGCTCTAAAATATCAATAATAATGTATAGTTGTTCAATTTATTCACGTAATGGCTCAATCGAAAATAATCTTGTGGATAATCAAATTTACTCAACAATAAAAATAAAATCGTAGGCCTCATCTTTTGGTTAGTTTCTTTAAATATAATATTCTTTAATTAAAGTTTGTATTTTTTTTTTGTTCATCCACTTTTATTATATATTTATATATAAATTGGTCTTAACAATTGTGACCTGAACGCTGAAAAACTTGACGTGCCGGTAGTTCCAATACGAAATTTAAAAAAATCTTCCGACACGCACGAAAACGTTTCTTTTGCAGCGCGTTCCGTAGTCATCCTAATCTTAAAATTATTACGAAAATATTGTTAGTCATTCTTGCAATTCATCCATCCAATTCGTCAATCGATGCACACAAATTCCATGAAACGTGCTGTTGTGAGATAGAGTTGTATTCGTTTCAATTCTCAATATCCGTTCTCGCTCCAAACCGACAAAAACTGACAGAATATCAAAGGTTATTGCATCTCGTAAACATTGGATAATCGTAACGCAGAGAAATAAGCTCCTTACACGAACTACTTGATTTCGTTTTCTTTTAGTATAAAAATATGATACTATACATTATTATAACGCGGCGCCTTTTCGCGGCCGGTATCAAAAATCGGGTACACACCTAAATCAGGAGGCGTAACGAAAATGGTTACAATTACAAAAAAAAAAAAAATTAACATACAAAAAAAAAAGACGAACCCGAACTCTTCATCATCGTTCAAATCCAAACGCAGGTTTTCAAAATTTCCATCATAATAAATTCATGCTCTTTAAATTCCTTTACTCATCTCTTCTTATGTACACGAAAGGCATTAAATTTGTGCAAATGCTACCCGTCAGTGCATGCAGTCTGTTCTTAGAAACTAAGACGCGCCTGGGCATCGATTATCAATTATACTTTTACAATTCTTCATTATACAAATACCGTTTTTTTTTTTTTTTATTAAACGCACGAAAAAATATCCGGAGAGTTTCGGCTTTCGCGAAAAATTTATGAAAATACTTATATTTTTTGTTTCAGTTTTTTTTTTGTTTTGGATCATCTCGAGAAAATCGTCGAATCCTTCGTAGAAATAGAATATTTCTTTCCATCTTCTTTAAATATATATATATCTTAAATTTATATAGTCTTCTAGTCAAATTAGCTATCAATAATATCTTCTCTCCTTCCATCTCCTCCAAGTATTATATTTAACAAATTGTATATATATATGATATAATGAATATACCATTAATAACATTTATGTGCGAAAATATGAGCACATCAATAGTAGTAGTTTTGTTCATCTCTTTAACTCTCTCTCTCTCTTTCTTTTTTTCTCATATTTTTCAATCTGCCTCATTTCCAAGTTATTTGTATTTGTATGTTGTTCGTCTAAATGGAATCTACACTTTCGAGATTCTCTTTTTGTAAGCACCTATATATCAGACTATGTTACATTCGTCAGGTCTTCTAAATTGCGCCCGAAATGTTACAAAAATAATAGTCGAAGTTTGCTTCAACCTGTCCAAAGGGGGGGAAGGCGAAGGCTGTGTCTAAAGGATACTGCAGGCCGTACCGTGCATCACCTCCGATATGAACATTGGTGTTCCAGCGCCGAGTCCTCCGTCCGTCTTCTCCTGCTCGTTCTGCTCGTACTCGCAGTCGAAGTAGTGACTTTGGCAGTCGAAGCATCTACACTGATCCGACATTTTGCACGTGATTCCGAATTGCTTCGCGACGGCTTTGTACAGCTCCTTGCTGGATTTGTGCAGGATTTCTGGACCCTTTGTTGGCGTGGACACGCTGGCCTGCTTCTGCAATCTCGTCTGCAAAACAACGCACTATTTAAACTCTTGCTAAACTTAATTTAATTAATACATCATTAACCTGCATCGATGACCCTAAAGATTTAACACATTCTAGTTAACGCTACATTATAAACTTACTTCTTACTTATTTAAGAGGCTTGTAACTAACCATGATTATACATCAACTAAGACTTTGTATCACAAATGGAAGATTAAAAATACCTAGTAAAGAATACAGTTTTGAAAACCAACCTCTTAATGTGTGCCCAATATTTACGTAACTAATGCATCTTAAAATATTGATCCGTTAGATATAATTGAGTTCATTGTGATCAATTTCCCAATAAATTATATAATTTATATAATTCTTAACACAGATGTATATTACTTGAGGCAGTTAAAAAATGAATTTAGTGTTGTACAGAAATACTAAAATAACACAAAGACTGAACTCATTCATTCATCATCTGGCATGCAATCAGAAGCAACGCCTACGAAGCTTTGCGGGGATTAGAAAATTAATGAGATTAAAGAAAATAGTTTCAAGTTCTCCAGAAGAAGAAAAAAAAAACAGAGCTCGGGGTTAATGGAATTAGCACGAGGCACGGAAATCAACCAGCCGTTATTATGATTTGACACGTAAAGGACTATACCTTCCATTATCTGGGTGCGTAAAAAAATCGTTTCTCGCTGTTCTTTCGCGATGTTATCATTCGGAAAATTAATTAAACTCTTTGTTGTTGTTGTTGTTGCTCTGTTATTTGTTGTTATTTGTTTGAAAATTACATTTGCCTAAGTGTCGTTATTTGTTTCGCTTAATGTCTGAATTCTCGTGGACGAAGCTTTGCGTCTTGCCAAGATAACAATAAAAATGCTAATCAAAACGTAATTTGCATGAACAGGAGCGTTTCTTGTCGAATTAAGCGAAACGTGATTATGCATACAATACGTTAACAGGGCGTTAACATCGAGACGCTGCATTTGATATGAATCGTTCTTACATCGATATTGTTCAGGTGGGCGTGATTTTCCTGTTAATAAAAGGAATTATAAGCAAAATCTGTGAATACTAATGTTTGCTACTTTCTAAGTTTTAGTCGTAGTGCATATATTTGAATACGAAAACGAGTCATGAATTTTGTATAAATTATAATCATTTTTTTTTTCATTAATTTCAATTTATTTTGTCATTTAAATTTTGTCAATAAGAATTAATAGATAAACATTTCGAGAAAGCCTTCAATACAAGTTTTCATATAACAAACAGTTGTAGTAAATTTTATACTTGTTATATAGATTGGGTGGAAGAGAAATGCTTGTCCATTTTAAAGCTCATGAAAATTGATCTGCGAAAGAAATGGACATCCAATTCAATTTCCTAAGTGGGTCGTGGTCAATACAGCTTCTTTAATGGCTTCCCTCTAAACTTCAACTACATCCATTAAAAACTGTACAAACAACATGGACTTTCCATTTCATAGCTCAAAAAGATTCGTTCATTCTCAACTAACAAATCTTCCAATTATTGGCAATTATTATTAATTTTATATAAAGTTTACATAATTTATTAGATCATTGTAAAAAAAAAACATCGATCGTCGAATATAGTTTTTCTTTTGTTCTATATTTGGTTAATTAAAATTTCATAATGAAAATATCCAATGAGTGAGTGCTAATTAGAAAATCGACTGTGTGGGGTTGTACGTTTCATTCGAATTCTGGGACTATTGAATAATGAGAAAACGTTTAATATACAAATGGATAATTGGAATTGATCATTCGTCACGCCCGAAATGGGTGTCCCGCTTGTCCAAACTATAATTTAAATAATGTATTACTCTCAAAACATTAATGACTATCTATAAGTAACTACATGATAAAAGTCGTTGACTTTCGAAATCCCGACAACCATAATCCCGATTATATCAAAATCTCGACTATATTAGAATCCCGACAACCATAATCCCAACTGTACTAAAATACTGACAATATCGAAAATGTCTTCAATAACATTTTTAAATTATTCTAGAGCGTAGTCACTTTTAAGTTTGTTATTAATAACAACAATTAATAATCTAATTGTATTGAGATTATTTCGTAATTAAAAAGGTTTATTATGAATAAAAATGTAGCACAAGGTGACTACGCTCCGAAATAATTAAAAAATGTTATTGTAAAAATTTTCGATATAGTCGGGATTTTGATATAGTCGGGATTATGGTTGTCGAGATTCTGATACAATCGGGATTATGGTTATCGAGATTTTGATATAGTCGGGATTTCGATAGACGGTATTTCGGTTGTCGGGATTGAGATATAGACCCATCTTATTTAGATAGTTATGTATAAAATATTTTTATATGAATATAATAAATGTGTTATATTTTATATCACTTTATGCATCTTGTTACTAATTGATAAGTTACAAAAATGTTGATTATTTGTTTGGCATTCTGATACAATTTTTAACATATTAGTTGGTTTATAGCTATATTTATACTAGTAATTAATTGTAATCCTCCCAGTATGTTAGTCATAATTAGTATATATTAATTAGTCTTGTAATAAGTTTAAATCATCAATTTTACATGGTTCAAATAAAATTTATCTGAATTGTATTTCGATGTAGTAAAAAAGAAATTGCGTATATATTATGTAATATCCTGAGATACACTGAAATGGAATTTAATTGAATACAAGTAAATTGAAGTGGATTTGTGAGGTTCTTATATGGACGAGGATTATAAAGTAATTTTAAGTAAGATTATGTTGATGAAATTCAGTAAATTCGCTCGAGAATAATTACTTTCTGCAGCCGCAGTCGTAAAGTGTTTAATCATCAGGACTGCGTCTGTGCACGGGAGGACAATAAACTTAATGGATTGATGGACTAATGGATAAATGGATGGATGGATGTATGGATGACGGACTCACTTCTTCCAAAACAAACTCGTAGGATGGCGGAGGACTGGACGGCATCAGGTCCTGACCCTCGGTGCCCTCCAGGATGGCCGGAACGTTGTTCTGTGGGCTGCTCACCTCGCTGTCGCAGTTATCCTGCGTCTCCACGGAATTGCTCCTCGTCGATGAGTTCGACTTGGACATCCTGCTGAATTTGAACTTGAAAGGAGCCACCTTGACCAGATCACCGACACCCACTGAAGCAATACAAATCGACGTGCAGGATTCGCAGCAATCAACGCTGGCTGCAATTCACCTGAAACTTCTTCAATTAGCCCCCTCGTTAACGTGGACACAACACGCGTGCTTTGATATTATCGATCTATCCGGTCTCATCCGAATGCCGTGCAACGTTCGCACAACTGATCGCAATAGATTGAGACACGTTACAGGAAGAAAAAAATGGAACACAATATTGCAAATAAACACATATAGACAATTAAAGAAATAGCTAACTACAAGATTAAATGTAAACTGAGTAACTACGTTTTCGACTATACCTTTTTATTCTTCGATGAATGATTGTGATTAATCTTACAGGGCACTGGTCGTCGTCTGTATGTAAAATCCAAGCGAAATATTGTGAAACTCGCGTACATGAAACATTAGGCCTGAACACCACATCGAGTTGTGTCCGTCGCGACGCTTCGGAGCCCCGACGCTTGCGCTTTACCCCAATGTATTGATGTTTTCTGCGTCGAGGTTTGCAGGATCATAGCTGCTTCGTGGAAATCCAACACTATTCCAGAGACGGACATAAAATGAACAAGAAGAAAATTACACACCAAATATACATATAGGGTGTCCTAAAAGCTTCCAAACTTGATCATAATCACATAAATATTGATAATATTTTATTTACAAATTATACGCGTCAAAATCATTTCATTATTACGTTTTTATTTATCAATGTGAAAGGTCTTTGAATACAAAATGGAGATTTGTATTCAAAGACCTTTCATTTGCATACAACAATTTATTATTAAATAAAAACATAACATAGTTCAACGGCTTTACATAATTATTCCGAATCTAGGTCGAATCTGTGCATAAGTTTATCTATTGAGACGAAGCACACATCAAAAAGGGAAATAGATGAGATGTAGAAAACCCCGAGTCTCGTATTTTGTTTGTTCGCGTGTACGAAAACACAATATCGTACTTCCGGTCCAGCTTACCGAAGCTTTCTGTTTGAAAGCTGAACAAAATCATCTGTTATGAAATTCTGACAAATTCACACTAGCAAAACTATGCTTATAGAAAAGAACAAAAAATTACAAATTTGTATCCAAAGACTGTTAGATAACAAATAGTAAATTTGTAAATAAAGTCCTAATTTAATAAACATTATCAATAACTTCAATAAATTTGGAATAAAAATTGATTGAAAGGTGAATATTGAAATATGCCGAAAATTATTGGATAAATTGCAAATTGTGAGCATTGTTACGTAAAACTGAAGTGGATGCATCAATGCGGATATGTAAAACGTATTTAGGACAATAAACATTGGGAATGTGTAAATAAAGTATGTTTTTAGGGCATAAAGTATCGATCTCACATCGAACATATAAAGAAAATTGATTATATTATTATAATTAGTACTATTGTTACCAATATTATTGTATTAATGAACAAAAAAGTAAATATGTGCATGTTGAAATTAATTGCAAAATGATACTAACCACAGGTCTTTTCGCCAATGAAATTATTATTTAATATAATACAAAACTATTGTATTTTAAATTTGGTCTCAATGTTACAAACATGTATAGTTGACATATGTTTTTATTTGCACTGCGCTGTTTCGTAAGTTGCATACACGCTCAAAATACTTTATATAATCAATAATTTGAGGCATTTCTCTTTTCAGGTTGATTGTATCATAATTCAATTACATTTTGTGCATATTTTTTGATATCTGAAATATTTGGTAAGTGAATCATAGGAATTTGGTCAAAGAGGTTGTCAGATGACTTTGACATTTTCTTTCAGTGAATCATTATTACTACTACCTGTCACTGATAAATTGTACTAGAGACAGTACGTGTAATTAGATCTCAAAATTATCGTGTTTACAGCTTGTCCCATTTGAATCGCATCAGGATGAAGTGGTACGAAGGAGGCATCACAGAAGCGGTGTCCTTGTACTCGCAAAATAAACTGATCTTCGTTGTTTACATTGAAGGTAACATCAACAGCAAACAATGGCAGATGCATACAAAATATAATAATGATGAATAAGTGCAGTTTGTTTATGTGAATAAATTTGATTGTAGGAAAGGATGAGAAGTCTGTAACTTTGACTAAGATGCTGGATGATGATAGGGTCAGCGGGATGCTGGAGAACCCAAAGTTCATTACTCTCAAAGTGGAGGAGAATAGCCTTCCACATCAACAGTTTTCTGAAATTTGTATCCTTTTTAGTTTAGTAATTTGAAAATTATTATAAGATATAATGAAAAATGCAATGTAAAATGTTTCCTTAATATTAGGTTAAGATAAACAAACGCCTGTACCTTCTATTTATTTCATTGGTTCTGGATCCACTCTGGAAATTGTCACAGAATCAAAGGATGCTGCAGATCTTGCGAAGAAAATCAATGAAATTTTAGTTAAAGGTGGTGAAAGCCCTATTGCTATACAAACTGGTATGTGCTATAATTACTTATGAGATTACAATGTCTAAACTATAAACTTTAGAAAATTTTCTACAAAGTGAAGCAGCAGCATCTAGCAGTAATGCAGAGTGTGTGGGAGAGGCCTGCTCTATTAAACCTTCTGAAGTTGCGGAGCCTTTAAAACCCGAGGAGAATAACGCCGCGTTAAGCGTCGAGGAAAAGCTGAAATTAGCGCAAGATCTGATCGAGAAGAAGCGGGCTATGAAAAAAGTCGAAGAAGAAGAAGTAATATCTTTATATAATGCTAGTAAATGTTAAATTAAATTATTTTGTTGATGCAGTTGGAGAAGTCCAAGGAAATTGAGCGCCGCAAGATGGGTCACGACGTGCAGAAAATGAAGCGCTGGCAGCAGGATCAGGAGATCAAGCAGAGAATGGAGGAACGGGAAAAGGAAAAACGCGAGGAAAAGGAAGCCAGAGACAAAGTGCGCAGGCAAATTGAAGAAGATAAGAGAGAGAAAGCCGCTCGCATGTCAGCATCTCCGCCTGCTGCAGCTGCCACTGTGCAACAGAGGAGGGTCCGACCTAACGATTCAAACTCTTCCAGACTTCAGTTCCGCTTACCGGATGGTAGTTCTCACACCCACGATTTTCCCTCTTCTGTGCCTCTCCAAGAGGTCATCAACTTCGTGAAGGAAAACTTGATCGTTGGCTTCACCAACTTCGTACTTTCCACCACCTTCCCACGCCGCGAGTTTCAACCGGAGGAAGCAAACGAAACTCTTTTAAATCTGGAATTGGTCCCGAATGCTGTCATCCTCGTGCTGCCGGTCTCACGTGCAACCGTGAGCACAAACAATCCAAACCAATCCTTGTCCATTTTCTGGCAGTTGTTGGCTCCACTTTTCACCATATGGAACTACATGAAATCGTTCCTGTTCAAAGATCCTCCGCGACAGAGTAACGATAACAATACTAGACTGGCCTCGACGAGTCGACCAAGGTGCGTTTAAAATAATATGAAATAAACATCTCTAAATCTATTTTTTTTTGTCATTCAGAGCACCGAAGAGGGAGGCTGGTGAATCCGTAATTAAGAGGCAAGGAAACGTGCACAAGCTGTCGGATAGGGACAGCGAGGATGAAAATAACACCTGGAATGGAAATTCCACCCAACAAATGTAATATTGTGCCATGTTGCTGTTCCCCTGTATCTTGTATATTTTCGTTTACCTAATATCTTTATTGAATTTCGAAGCAATTGTTCTATAAGTTGTTAATGTTATGCATTTTCGGAATGGCAACATGATCGTTCGATGAATGAATGTATACATATAGACAGTTTTAACTATAATAAATTTTAAAATCAATTACGCGTGGAAAATTTCTTCTCTTGCACACTTAAAGGAAACAAAAACAAAATAATAAACAGATAATATTGTGGTACCAAATAGTATAACTATTCTTGATGTATTTACTTGTCTTTATACAATCTATATATTATATTTGAAATATTTGTGCTAAAAAAGTGTTATATATATAAAAAAAAATAAATTTAAAACAGAATCAAATATATTCATGTAAATTTATATAATTTTAATAGTCTGAAGGTATTTATATATATATTTATTAATTACTAGGAATTTACTTGGAAACGGTACTTCAGTAATCACTGAGTTTTACACGAAAAGAAAGTGAATGTAAGTAGTCAAAATGCACTCGACATGAGAATTCTCTGATTAACTGAAAGACCAAATTCAAGTGGTATAAATATACAGGAAGTATGCAGTTGAGGAATTAGCTTACTGCGCAACTATAACATATAGAATGTTATATCATTTAGTTGTTCTCTTCAATTGAATTGCTCCACACATAATGGTTAAAACTATAATTCAATCTTTTTAAATAATTATAATCAAAGGCTATTATAAAGTCGCTGTTTTCATATTTTTTTAGTTGTTTTTTTATATAAAATTATTTCTACTCTTAAGGTCTTTTAACTATATATCTTGGGTGTTAGCTATTATTTGAACATGATACACTGTATTCACATGAAGCTCTTGCTCCTAGAATTAGTAGTTAATTGAATATGTATGTCATAATAAAGAAAATAACGAATCCTATTTTTTTAATTACCTAATTTTGTTATATTATTATTTTAAACAACGTTTATAGTTATACAAAACTATATTAATATAATATATAAAGATAACTATTGCAAAGAGCTATTGTATTCAAGTACAGTAGAACTTCGCTTAACGAGTTTAATCAGTTCAAATATTTCCGGATTTTTACTCGTATAGTGAAACACGTTTTCCCATATAAGCTAATGTAAATTACGATAACTTGGTCTCGATTTTTAATGATTTTGCTTTTCATATCTACGGTTCTGTTTGCACATGCAAGTGTTATTAAGTTTTAAACACACAAAAAACATATCTGTACACAAGTTTGGAAATTTTTTGATCACAAACAACACTAAGATGCAACTAGTATGACCACTAACTATTTTCGAATTCGCACACGGTGAAGTAAGTTTATATTTGTTTATATTACTTGTATCAATTTGGGGATTTGGAATTTAGTCTCTTTATACCTTCAATATTTGTTTATATAAAAGCGTATATATTGTGGTTATATATTAAAATAATGGTTGGACACAATACATTTGTGTTTTGAATTTACAGCAAACACAAATTATATTTACAAAGTATAATCCGCTTTAAACAAAGATGACAAAGAAAATCGAAGATGGTTTATTTATTAAAAAATACACAAGTTTTGAAAATGATGTAGAAGGCGCGCAATCCGGGACTTCTCTTCTCATCGTCACTCGTTATGCGAAACGTCTCTCGTTAAGCGAGTCGTTTTTCTTACAATTATTTTTGCTCGTTAAGCGAAACTCTCGTTAAGCGAAACTCTCGTTATGCGAGGTGCTCGTTAAGCAAGTTTCCACTGTATATTTATTATAAGTTTCTTTCTAATAGCTAGATTAAAGTAAGTTTTTTTTTAGCTAAAGTTGAAAATTTCTCCGTGATCATAAAATAACATGCACAGTCATACCTGGGTTAACGCTACCTCTGATACGAAGCTTTAATATAACGATGTTCACAAATTCAAGCCTT